ATCAATAATGAGCTTACTGTTGTTGACAATAAACATGATCTCTTGACTGTTCTTTTTGAGGGGCAATCAAGCTCGTTTCCAAGGTAACCCTTTAATGTGTAGYGAATTTTGTAGTGYTTTACTGTTTTAACGAAAGCAGGTTGATTCCATGTGAATTTCAAGCTGTAGAGGTTCAGCGTCTTGTTTTCCGTAAAATCATTGTGTTTTAGGTTGGTGATTTTCAGTGATGTCTCCTTGGGATCTAAAAACATGGAGAATTTTTTAATAAAGCATGTACMACACACTTTCATGATGGCTAYTACCAGAACGACTTGACCATTTTCATTGTTATTCAGATTTTTATTCCTTTTGGAGATCAGTAAAATGATTGGAACTAATCCATAGACTGCAAAAGAAAGTGTTTTGTTTTTATCCCTGTTTAAAGTTGGTCCCATGTTAAACCCTTGAAATGMGTCTAGAGCGGCAGTTCTACAATATATAGGTGCTGAATAATAACAGTCCTTGGAAAAGGAGCACCTTACATAATTATGGAATGTTTGTTCGCCCCTCTTCCCAGGCCCCCTCGAAGGCCTAACACTCACAATAMTGATGCAATTCTTACCTATTTTCACTGGTTGTTCTGATGTGGCATTTGCAATAATCCATGAATGCTTGTAGATTGGTATAACCTACGTAAATCAAACAAATCATTATACATTGTTATTCACACTTACCTATAGATTCAAATGATTTGCGAACTGTGCGATTATAAGTGATTTGTTTTGCTCTCAAAGATACCTGATAATTTAATGATTGTCGAAAATCAAGTCCTCGGACAACAAACCACTGGTTTGTCTGTAAAACAATGAGAGAAGTGTATTTACTACAATAGATCACCTTAAGAAACACTTATGCTACATTAAAACGACCTAACGATCACAGACCGACCATCGACTGACCAGTCAATAATCACTCGTTCGACTCGGACTCGCATAAAATCAAACCCCTGCATTGACCAATCAGCCCATCCATTCAACAAAGTTACTACTCCATTTTCGAATTCAAAGCGAATGACCGCTGTTTTGTTTGATAGCAGATTCTCTTTTCGCACTAAACACAAAAAAGTACAAAAATATGTTGTAAGTACTTTCCCTGAGTTGAGGCTAACCCTGTATTCCCATAAGACTTAAACCTTGTTTTTTTTGCTTTGAATTCGAAAGTGGAGTATTTCTAAGTATACATAAGCATTTTACCGTTAGATTGGATTTTGACGGATCCCCTTCCATGTTATATGTAACGTTGTACGATGTGATAGAGCTGTAGTTGAATACTGGCCTAGACCAGGTGATGTTGACAACAAAAAAGTCTGATGACGAAAATGACGACACACTGCGCTGAATCTTCTTAATGCTTGTATCTTTGAGTGGGACGTCTGATTYAAAGATAAAAGTCATAGAATTATGCTCTCCTTGAGATTGCAATCCTAGATCGGTGCAATTTTTTTTATATATCTATTTACTATTTATATTTTTTATCTATCTATCATCATATTTCTAGTGTTACTTATAATGTACTATACACATATATACTATATTGTAGTTTATATTGTTATGCTCAGGGCTCCCATTGATAACAGATTGCTTTTTGCATCTGATGGGGCTACCCTGAGCGGTATAAGTTTTATCTATCTATCTAACTAGATATATATTAAGGTAACTATTTCCGATATGAATACCTGGGGTTTTAAAAACCAGAGTCGTTTTGATTCCAACGTCTTTTTGAAAGTCATCCAAGAACAAAGGT